AATGCAGACATAAACATAGATAAATGCAAAAATATTAACTCGAACGTAGACGTAAACATTCAAATTTTAGGATATATCGTGTGGTATTCGATTTCGAAACACGTAAATTTATTTATCGCCTCTTCTTATAAAAATATTGAGATTTATACCTAGATTTTGTTAATTAGAACTTATTGTCCTGCAATTAGTCTCGTTATTTTTTGGATCAAAAGCAATATCACGACGCGCGCTACTTACCCCCTTCCAGTACTCGGCATCTAAGCAAAAGATATAGGATATTGTAAGAGGACGTGTGTGCGTGATAAATGCAGATAACATTTACATCTCTTATTACTTTAAATAACATCAACTTTACTCGATTACAGTTCGATCGTACATCGTGATCTCTTAACTTATATCTACTTACGCATCATATCTCGTCTTCCCTTCCATTTTCTCTCGCGTTTACACACATATACACACACTTACACATACAGCTCATTGATACACACATACACACGCTCATGGATAACGACGTTCATATTCATTCTCGGCAATTCGTCTTAGTTAGTTGTGCAACGTTAGGTTTGTCCGCTAAAATACACGAATGAAAATTGGAGAGGACCAAGATGATAATAATGATCATTAATAATCGTCCTTGCGTCGCGGCTCTCCTCTCGTTCACATTCGCATCCTCGATGCTCTTCCGCTGCCTCCGTTTGTATGCGCGAGTTGCGTGCGAGTGCGTAATTTGTGCAAGAGTCTCATTACGATTAAACATCCTATTCGTAAAAATTAATTCTTTAACTTTGGTCGAATCGCAGCGTTCGTTTCGTAGAAAATTTCTTAAATAACTTTCGATCATGATTACTGCTTTTGCAAGCCTAAAAAGAATATCTCGAAAGTAATGACGAAGTATGTATATGGAGAAAAAGCAACTTACAAAAGAAAAAAGAAAAAAAAAAACAAAGAAAAAATTGAGAAAGAATCAGTCGGAAGCTATTCGTTTGTGCACCACAACTTGTGTATACGGATACTCTTGAACGATACTTCAAATGCGAGAAAATAAAATAATAGTCGTTCCAGTAATAATTTGTCCAGCGTTCATTAGCCGAAGCATACACATTAAAACAGCTTATAATTTTATCAATAATTTGTCCGTTTAAGAGAGCATAATGCTGCCTGTACGAGGCGCTAACGTAAAGCTTGATTAAAACTATCGTGTTTTACGAACGCGAAACTGCAAAAGAGTGATAGCTTGTTTCATGGTTTCGATTGATTCTTACATCTAATGTAATTTGATAAAACGTACGAGCTAACGAGATTGGATTTAACTTTGAGCTTTTAAATATTGACCAACAAATCATTTTCATAAAAATAAAAGAAATTTTTCTATTTCAGATACTTCAAATAATTTAAAAAAAAATCTTATTTCTTGAATATAAGGTTATTTAATTGCGTCGTGAATTTTGTCAAATAGCGGAAGGTTTTCTATTATTCTTAGAGTTATTGTTTTATGTGTTTCTTTTATCTCTCTTCATTCAGATACATTCTATATTAATCGATTCCTTTTACGAATCGTTAATATTCTCTCTATTGTAACGCATACTGTGGCACTTTCGAATTGTTGAATAAATATTATAACGTAGCTTTTTGTAGACGCGCGATTATTTTAGTAAAGATTAACAAACACGCAGAACGCGATGAATGCGAAAGGTGCAAAATGAAAATAATGCCTGTAGGTTCTGTGCCATAAGATCGAAGATATTATTATTTTTTACCCTACGTCTATCTCTTTTCTTTTACCTCGATTCTATCCCCTACCCTGTTTCGTCCCGAGGACTCTCTCGTAAGGGAAATCCTTTCTCTCCTCGACATATCCTAGATAAGAATCTACAAGGCAATGTCGCAGCTAACGGAATATTTAGGATATCAGGCGCGCGAGATATTTTACGAATGAAAAGTCGACATTTGGGAGATGAATTAAAACGCCACTCTATAATAGCGCTTTAAAAGCAACTTTATACAAGTCTCAGTAATGATTTTCCTACGCCGTTCTCTACGCAATAAAATTTTAACAAAAACATTAAGCGTATTATAGTAAAATTTAATTTATTTTTTCACCGCAAAAAAATAATCACATCGTAAAAAAAAAAGAAAAAAAATGCGATGCTCGATAATAAAAATAAAATATTTTTGCGAGCAAGAAAGAGCAATTTAATATATTTCTCGCCTGAATAACAAATTAACGATTCATCTCAATATCTCGACTTTTCTACATCTGTCATATTCTCGTATAATATCTTTCTCTCTTTCCTGTTCCCTCTTACATTCTTTCCTTTTCGCGCAACATATACATTCTCGTTCTCCCTTTCATTTTGTCTTCAGATATATTTATGTACAGACTGCGAACTGCGAATAAATGATAACTTACGCGCTATCTTATATGATGCGACGAGCATTCACTGTCTACTGGGGGTACCCTAAAGTTTCATACCCATCCCTAACTGTTTTTATTCAATTTAATCACTACACGCGATATCACATTTTTTAATCAATAATAATTACTCTTGATGTAATATATATTCTTGTGATAATAATTTTTTAATAATAACTATACTTTCTCATTCCGCACACAAACCACGCATCTATGGAATGTGAGTTATAGAAATAATAAAATATCTTGAAATATTTTATCTTTAGTCCCGAAAAAGTATCCCGAAAAAATCCCGAATAATTTTCTAAGAAAATTATTGAATCAAAATGCTCGAATTATCGAACATGAGAAATATGGGTTAACTTTAATCGCTAAAATGTCAATCTAAAACTTCGTAATTGTTTAATCACGAAATCCAATCAATGACTCGGGAACACCCGGTAGGCAGCGAACAAGGACGAGATTAACTTAATAATATGTCGAATGCATGTGTATTATACATATGTACATACAGGACAAACACAAAAGCGTACGGTGTAAGAGGAGCGTACTTGATTACGGCTAATTAATTAATAGGCAGGTCAAATCTATGAAATGAGGGAGACAGGGGGAGAGGCGCTAGGAGGAATGATCGGAATCTGTCGCTTGTATTTTGCGTGCGTTAAAAAAAAAAGAAACATTATCTTTGTGCAATTTATTCCGTTCGGACAGAAAAACGGAAAAGTACGGCGCCAAGTTATACGGAACAGAAAGGCTAGAGGCAGAATTTTTTGCCCCCATTGTTTACTTATGGAAATAGTGGTAAACACAAGCCGGTCTAGCCAGCTTGCCACGAGAGTTTACGAACTGGGAAAGTAAAATGCTAATATGTCTTTTGCTATATTTCGTTCGGAAACGTCATCGCCGCCTCGGTATCCTTTGATTCCGGTTCTCATGGATATCCTTAGAATAGGAAATCGTTTAATAGAAAATTCAAAAATTTATATATATATATATAGATAAAAAATTATTTTTTTGTCTGAAAATCAATCAGATGATTTTTATTAAACAAGTCTTTTTCTTCTTCGAATCTTAATTATTCAATTAAAATATAACATACTAATTCATATTAAAGTTATGATTATGATCATATAATTTATTTAAATAATTTTATAACTCATATATATTATAAAGTTATTTAAATATATATAACTAGAGTATATTAAAAAGCTGCTTTTTCCAATAGTAATTAATTATACGTTTATTTCTATTTTCTTCGTATATCTATAAAAAAAACTAATTTATTTATGCAATTAAAAAATTTTTCTGAACACCGAGACAGACGCGATTTTTGCGAGCAAGAAAGAGCAATTTAATATATTTCTCGCCTGAATAACAAATTAACGATTCATCTCAATATCTCGACTTTTCTACATCTGTCATATTCTCGTATAATATCTTTCTCTCTTTCCTGTTCCCTCTTACATTCTTTCCTTTTCGCGCAACATATACATTCTCGTTCTCCCTTTCATTTTGTCTTCAGATATATTTATGTACAGACTGCGAACTGCGAATAAATGATAACTTACGCGCTATCTTATATGATGCGACGAGCATTCACTGTCTACTGGGGGTACCCTAAAGTTTCATACCCATCCCTAACTGTTTTTATTCAATTTAATCACTACACGCGATATCACATTTTTTAATCAATAATAATTACTCTTGATGTAATATATATTCTTGTGATAATAATTTTTTAATAATAACTATACTTTCTCATTCCGCACACAAACCACGCATCTATGGAATGTGAGTTATAGAAATAATAAAATATCTTGAAATATTTTATCTTTAGTCCCGAAAAAGTATCCCGAAAAAATCCCGAATAATTTTCTAAGAAAATTATTGAATCAAAATGCTCGAATTATCGAACATGAGAAATATGGGTTAACTTTAATCGCTAAAATGTCAATCTAAAACTTCGTAATTGTTTAATCACGAAATCCAATCAATGACTCGGGAACACCCGGTAGGCAGCGAACAAGGACGAGATTAACTTAATAATATGTCGAATGCATGTGTATTATACATATGTACATACAGGACAAACACAAAAGCGTACGGTGTAAGAGGAGCGTACTTGATTACGGCTAATTAATTAATAGGCAGGTCAAATCTATGAAATGAGGGAGACAGGGGGAGAGGCGCTAGGAGGAATGATCGGAATCTGTCGCTTGTATTTTGCGTGCGTTAAAAAAAAAAGAAACATTATCTTTGTGCAATTTATTCCGTTCGGACAGAAAAACGGAAAAGTACGGCGCCAAGTTATACGGAACAGAAAGACTAGAGGCAGAATTTTTTGCCCCCATTGTTTACTTATGGAAATAGTGGTAAACACAAGCCGGTCTAGCCAGCTTGCCACGAGAGTTTACGAACTGGGAAAGTAAAATGCTAATATGTCTTTTGCTATATTTCGTTCGGAAACGTCATCGCCGCCTCGGTATCCTTTGATTCCGGTTCTCATGGATATCCTTAGAATAGGAAATCGTTTAATAGAAAATTCAAAAATTTATATATATATATATAGATAAAAAATTTCATACGCTTTAAAATACCCACCGAGAAAAGCTCACGGAGAACGAAACGATATATCCGTACAGAACTGTCCTTTTTATTTATCTGAACATTACTGGATCGCCAAGGAATTATTGTCACGATAAAAAATATTTTTGACTTAGTTTTTTCATTATTTAATAATTGTGTTAACAATAAATTGAGATCGTGCTCACTGGGTTATGTGTTCAACAATAATTTTTATTAATATTTTAAATACTTTTGCATCTTTTTATAATACTTTTTAAGCAAACTTCAATATCAATAGATAAGACTTTCCTTATCTTTCTTTGGTGATAATAATTTATTGACGATCCAAATAATATCACAGCAAACCATTCAAGGGTACCTTGATCGATCGGAAGTCTTGCGCCTCGCCGATGTGCATTAAGTCTTCTCCTGGCTTCTTTTGCTTTGAGTGCTTGGGGCCCAAGGTCACAAGGAATGGTACTCGCCCAACACGAGGCCGCTATGGTAACTCGCGTGCGACGTCGACATCCCCATGGAGCCCATGCCCTGGTAAGCGCCCATGCCCATGCCGTTCATCGACATAGTGTTCATGGTGTTGACACCCTGCATAGTGTTGGACAGCATCGTCGAGGGACCCATCGGGCTTAACCCGCCCATGGAAGGCGCGATCGCGCCCATCTGCATCGACGTCGCCGTGTGTGGCAAGGACTTCTGCAGATCCGCGGAGGTCGGTGTGCCGATTAAATAGTCCTATCGCAGAAAAGAACGATTTCTTCATATTCGTCTCATCTATTTCCACGATATGTCAATGGAAGGAAAAGGAATATCAATGTCATATCGTGATAAGAGATGTAAAACATACATGTGTGTATATACATGTTCGAATTTTACATTTATAAATTCTTGAAAAGAATCTAAAAACTCTTCTTATATTTTTAGATGAATATTGAATATATTTTTAAAAACTTGATATCTTTCAGTATATTTAATTCAATTTTCTTTATAGAATAATATAATATTTTTGGTTTCTATAAGATAAATCCCATAACGTTTTTCTTTAAGGACAGGCGCCCGCGAAAAAGATACGACAAATCCTTGTTGTAATGAACGTAAATTGGAGCAAACATGAAAAAATGTTTCTTACCTGCGGGCTGTAGTACTGCATGTAATCCAGCTGACTCTTCTGTTGAGCGCAGCTGGGCGGTGGTGGTGGCAAGGTAGCGGTGGGATGAACGAGTCCATGGGCGCCGTGGGTGCCGACTTGGATATGATGCTGCAACTGATGATGGAGGTTCCTCTTGTCATCGCCGCTCTCGCTGCTCGTATCGTGGTGTTGCATGTGCGGGTGGCTCAAGGACGTGCCGTGACTCTGGTGATACGAATGCGGGCTGGAGACCGTGACCGGAGGCGGAAGCTGATACATGCCGGTGGTTTGCTGGTGGTCCACCATCTGCTGCTGCTGTTGTTGCTGTTGCTGAACGGCGCAAGAGGACGGCTGTTGCTGTGGCTGCTGTCCGGATTGCCGCTTCGTCTCGTCGCCGCTCTCGCTGCTGGAGTCCCCTAAGCCCCCGCCGTGAGCCTTGTCCTCCCTCTGTCCACTAAAACAACAAAGCGGCATTTTTACCTTTTAAAAAAAGACAGCTGATCTTTGTTTCTTTTTTTTTTTTTTTTT